TAACTGTTATACGTGATTCATTGCTTGCCGAGATCTGAACTTGTTCGGAAGACTTTTGACCGATCCTGTAAAGCATTGCCCTTGCCTTGGAACGTTAATCTAAAACGCGCTCAGATTATCTGCGTTAACTTTGCCGCTCCGCAAAGAACTGATCAAGATTTTGTTTTCAAAATTATATCAAAGGATGCTGCAATCATTCTTTACAGAATATCGTTTTATGGAAAATTTCAAAGTAACTATCAAACATGCTTGCAAAAACTAGAATTGTTAGTAGCACTTTCGAAATGCTCAAATACAAAATTCTATGATATCTACATTTCACTCTGTGACTACAATTTCTTTGAACATTTTGCAATATGTCCAGTTCCACGTCACAATGTATAGGACGCTTTGCCTGAAATATTTTCCGTCTGCATGTACGATGACAGATGCGACAGAATCACGTATAGACGGTGTAATCTGGTTCGCACAATTTCGACGAAAAGATGATGTGATTCTATAAACAACCACTTCAGTGGTTTGCAGTCCTTGTGTTATTCCTTCAGTGGGAGCAGCGGGCATCGGATGGGATGAGCGGAATAGGTTAGTGTAGAAGTTCTTCGCGATGATTTCTTCTCGTATTGGGAAGAAGTCAGAATCACATTTTGTACAATAGTGTAGCCAGCGGTAAATAATATCCCAGAGGTTTTGAGACGTCGTCTAACTGCTGCTTCCTATATCCTGGCTTGCCTGTACCTCCTGAAATCCTCCTGCAAAGCTATTCTGCAACTGGCGTTGGCTATCGGTCGCTCGAGATAGGTTGCCTTCAGATCTTGACTCAAGCTCTTCTTCTTTCGAGCACTTCCTTCATAGTCTTTGAAAAGCGTTCTAACTTCTTTTTAGAAATCACTGAGGCGCACCCTCCGCTGGCACGTGATTCTTTCAGAAGCAGATCATGTCGTATGTTGCGCCCTCCCGATAGGCCAGTCACAACTAAATATGAACCCTTCCGACTATTGCCGTCGTGAACGTCCTTCCTCCTTGCGGTATTGTGATAGACTATCTTCCGCTTTCGACCTTACTACGGTACAACCGTACCTTCGCTCCAGGGAGACGGTGATCAAGCCACTGCAGAAGCATAGAACCATTGAGACATAGAGCACCTTCCACCTTCGGTTTGCGAGAACCTGGTCGATCTCACGTGAGTCTCAGCTGCATGATTCCCATGTCCACCAGCGTTGTCCTTTCTGCATGAAGATAGAGTCCCCATGGTCTTCTGACGTGGAGGCCGTAGTCGTAAGGTTGCTAGCTGAGATGACAAACTCGTGCGAATCGACGAGATGGACTATAGGTGGGTGGACGACAAAGCAACGTCTTTAACGTCACTTGCTGAAACCTCCTCAACACGCTTCCCCTGAGCTCCGTTCCTGCAGAGCGATAACATAGTACTTGATATACGTTGGCCTTTGTGGAAACTGTCTTAGCGTTGTAGGTGCAGAGCATGAAGTAGTCTCCATAACGTTCGTTTGAGTAAAGATGTCACTTTTGTCAATCCAAAAGGCGCCGGACCCTGACATCGTTGTTGGTACCACTCGACGCCGTAGGCTGGATCCGGTATGCAAGGTTTCTTTCTCTTCATCCAACCGGTGGAGTAAAAGTCCTTCACTCGGAAGACCCTATCAGAGTATGAACT